TTACTATATAAGCTATAGCTATATAGTGCAGTACTCTTCCTAGTTTTTTCTCTATGGTTTTTATAGGTTTAACGAGGCTGTACGCTTACAAAGCTCTTTCATTAAATATCAAGGCACACTACTGAACTCCATACAAGAACAAGAAGCAGTCAGGACCTCAGTGCTAGCTCTAGGAGACGTCCGACTACTGGGGACTGCCCATAGTACAGAGCGAGGTCCACCTACACCGCGACGGCGGACGATCCCCACCTGGCACTGCTCCAATACAAGCGGCAACCCACCGCACTCTTGCAAGCAGCCCTACTCTGTAGAGCAGGGGGTGGCCTATGATCACATTAGCTTCAACATGCGTTCGAACCTGAGGGAGGTGTGTAAGCCCAGAAGTACCATGTATGGTCACGTGGTTGCCCACTGACTAATAACACCGTATTTAAACTTGCTCCTATCATGATACACATCAGAATACACAATACTTCCTACACCCTCAACTGCTTACAGGATCCTAATCAAAAAATACGATCTAGGCACGATCAGTGTTTGGGCGTCAACGCGGGAGCCTAAACCAAGAACATTTGTTTAATTAGCTATAGTGTGGTGTTGAGGATTTGAATATGTTCTTAGAACGTGTAATCCTTGCTGATAGAAGTTTTAAACATGGTCTTTTGAAGCAAATCGTAGTCAATAGTGGTGATTACCAAGTTCTGTAGGATTTAAAGTCACTGTGATGGCTCAGCCCTTTTTGCGGGGAGTGCTCTGTATCGTGCAAAATTTACTCCAACTGCTCTAACTAGTTGGTATGCTAACCTCTTCCAGTCTAGCGTTAGGTCCCAAAACTGCACCCTAGTCCTGGTGTCGGGAAGCCATCCGACCATAGGTTGCGTGTACGGCACCCCCACTCTCACCTGATCAGGCGCGAGAGGTTCAACATAATCTTCAGAGCCTCTAAGATGATAACTAGTTTCATACTTCCATTAATCTATCAACATTTGGAATAAGCTGTTCTTGATGCGTTACTGTCTTGCGTAATGTCTCATACTTTGAGTAGCGGGTCTGTGCCATAGTCCGCTGCCTTCCGTGCTGTTGTTTCAAAGAAATCAGTGCCCCGCAATATCAGAGATCTCTTAACCAGAGTCCAATGACTATTACCAGGCAGAGCGCCTGATTCTTATCATTCTATTGCATCTTGGGCGTCAGGAATATTTTACAAAATTTTATAGAAAGTTTATTCTGCATAATATAGAATCTCTATATAAGCCTATCAGAGGCCACATAAAAAGTTTTTATGTCGCCTTGGCACTCTATCCATGCTTTTCAGGTGCAGGTTACATACATCCGAAACATTGATTACTAGGTCGTGCACTCCGAAATTCGCACTAAGCTCCACATGGGATGTTGGTCGGTGACTTTGACGGCTGCACAACGTAATCGTCATAAGCGACCAAGCTTCCGCTGTGTGCAATGAGATGTGGTGAGCCACTCGCATCCTTGGTCACAGTAAAGCGGGTTGAGTAGCTATAATCATCCTGTGAGTATGCTTATAGAAGCCAACCATGTCATGGAACTAGCAGGTGAGTCCAGAACTTACTATGCTTGAGAACAGTTACCACGATCGAAAGTTGTCTCGATGACACCAAGAACCTGATAGGTCTTCATGGTACTTGTCTCTGAAGACACAGTAGTTACATTGGGCAAGTGATTCCAATGCTTGTTGCCTGCCACCGGAAGCAACTCCTGTTTTAACGCGATAATCTGTCTGGAGCCAACGGCAGTATTCCGAAGAACAACGAGTTTACCGTTACGAGTAAAGAAATTTGTAAATGTTGTTGTAGAAGATGGGTCTTCTGCGGATGCATAGAGTCTACAGTTTGTAGTTTAGTAATCTAGTTGTTCCCGGCAGTTGAAAGAGCATCGCGAGATAACGTACTGTTTCAGAAAAGACTGGAACCCCGCGTCAACCCCAGACCTTGCAGAGTACCGAGACATATCGACTGATGCAGCTATGCCTACAATGCTGGCAGATGTGATAAGGGAGAGGAGCTTCATTGTTGCTTTTTCTTAGTGTTTGCGGGATTCAAGAGCGGATACTCGAAGATATGAGCATTAACTACCTTAGAATCAACACACATATTTATACATTCCACGATAGAAGAAGATTGGCACGGACTCACGTAAAGTCTGCCGAGTGTGGGCCGATATATCAAGTACATGTTGTCTAGCATATTCTTGGCTGGGCCTGTTCTGCCAACTTTGGAGAAGTTGGTTAGTCTGGACTTTGTAGTCGGTCCGGTATGGCTGCGGTACGTATTCATAGATCTATCGTTTCAATACGCATTGCATGATCAGGATCGATTACTGCTAGGATAAGGAACTCTTTTACCTGGATACGGATAGATAAGCTCTTCCACAAACCCTGTACACTGCCCCATCTGATGTATACGGCTCAAATTTTATGTGACATGGGTTGGCAGCGAATTGTAGGAGGTAAGTCCGAAAGTCTGGCTAGCACATGCCTTCTGCCACGTACCGTGACATGCTTGTAGAATAGTGGATTGAAAAGGTAGGACTCGCTGGAATCAGCTGTAACTCACCGTCACGCAGTATGTCGGAGCTGCAAGTGGTTATGGATTCCCTAATTGAGAGTAGCGAGTTAGCATCGCAGGTTGTGCTTAGCGTAGCTGATAGATTTGTCACCATAATTAATGAATTTTACTCTTATGATACAAAACGCTTTAATCTAGGCCACTAAGACCTTAACACAAGGCCAGTATCCAAACTAATCCTTGTGCGAATACTGTCAGCTCCCCCGGTGGTTTCAGGAGTTGGCAGGGCGCTCTAGCGTCCGGGCCGCATCGGCCGCTGACCGAGTGAGACATGATCGGCTATTATTCAAACTTTAACTTTACGCCCTGCTATAATCTCACCACTACTAATTATAATTCAAAGTTTCCTTTTGTATTGTGGTATGGATGATTCTTTCCAAAACCGTACTGTGATGTTTAGCGGTAAACTACAAGGGGTGATACTGCTACATGGTATTTGCGCAAAGCTTCTATACCTACAAATCATGCGCTTTTCCTAATAGAGACATTTGACGATACATTCCAAAACGATGTTCATTGTCTCGTGTCTTTTGCACAAAGTTTATTGTAGTCTCTTTGGTTAAAGACTATCCATGGTGTCAAATTCTATTTTCTTAACTTATTACTAGCAGAAATATCGTATAGTAGTTTTAGTAATAAGGTGTTATAGGCTAGGCCTCATATAAACGCTCAAGTAGAAACCTAAAATAATATCAAGTAACGTATGTGGCAAGCGAGCGCCGCAGGCAAGCGAGCGCCGCACCCCACCAAACCTGCGCACCTCTATAAGCCTGTAGTTCCACCACAATATAGTTGTTTTACTACATATTAACATAATAGATTAAGCAGTACCTAGAGTATCTTTCTTGCACGTACGCGAGTTATGGCCAGTCTCTCTGCACCTACTACAGCGCGCCAAAGCCTGGCGGCTAACACCTGATCGCTCTCCTCTCTGACGCTCTTCATGAGCAATCTGCTGATCAGCCTCGCGCTGAGCGAGTAGATCCTCTCCAGCTCCCTTTGTAAGTACTCCTCGCTTCTATATCCGCTTTTTCTTACGCTGCCTACGCTTTGTTGCTGCCTCATTAGCCCTCTTAAGGCTGGCGAGCCGATCGCGCATTAGCTCAGCCAAGAGCATCATTATCTCTGCCCCCTTCTTAAGCTGGCCAATTGCCGCAATAATTGACGCTGGTGATGAACTCTTATGCCGCTGAACCCGGTCACGTATTAGCGTTGATTGGGCTTCAAGCTCGCGTACGTTGCTTGGGGTACGAGCCTGCCAGACAGCCTCTGCGACAGCAGCTGGAGGAGTAGGCGTACGCAGCTTTATGTCAAGCTTTGATAGAACAGCGTCTGGCTGGAG